ATATATATATATATATATATATATATATAGCGAAGACCCCCTCCCCCGGTGGATGACAACGACTGCCGTTGCGAAAACGTTCTTTCATCACACACCGCTGTTCCTTTACTCAGCCTTTCTAAAATGCGAACACCTTAGCAGCTCTTCGTTGTTGCTGCTCGTGTCGCATCTTACTTGAACCCCCCCCCCCACCTCCCCAATCCTTTCCTTCTTCGCGAAGCGCAACGGAAGCCAAGTCAGCAAAAGAAGATAATAAAGAACCAAAGATACCCCTCCCCGCTCACCTCTCGAGGAGGTTGTAGTGCCCCGGCATGTACAGCAGCTCAATCGTCACGCGATGGCCATCCGCGTTATTCTCGTCGTTGAAGGAGTACTCGGTCACGTTAGCCCCGGCGTTGCGGTCCAGCCCGTACACCATCAAGCACACATCCAGCACTTTCGCAAATGCAGCCAGCTGCACGTTGTCGCTCTCGTGGTCGACCGCCTCCACCTCCATGTTGCAGTAGGCCTTCACGGTGCCGTAGCCCAGTCCTTCTACAAACGGCAGGTAGTCATCCTCGTGTTCCTGCAGGTACGCAGAGACGATGTAGCGCAGCGCCACAATCAGGTAGGCCCCATCGTCGGAGGTGTATCGCTGGTAGACCTGCGCCGTCGTGGTGACCTTTCCAGAGACAACACCCTGTATCACCTCCATCAGCACCTCCGTAAAGTCGGAGACGAAGTCCCCAAACATCGCAGTCAGCAGCGGCTCTAAGCTCTTCAGTCTTGCAACAAAATCTGGAGCCTTTTCAGGATGCTGGACAATGAGCTCGCACAGTCGAAAGCCGGCGCATCGGTAGAAGCAGTTGCCGTCGCGACGCGCGTAGCGGATTCTTGTAAAGTTGTATTGCTTCGTGGATGTCGCTGAAGCACCGAAGAGGGACAGGGACTGCGTCATGTAGGCCTCGTCCCCCTTCACCTCCTGCACGAGTCGGGAGTGCTTGTCGAGCGGTAGCGGCACGGAAAGCAGCGGGTCCCGCCGTACCTCTTCGCGAATGTCAGCCAGTTGAGCCTCACACGCTTCCGCCATTGCCGTGGGACTCTTGGCGTTGTCTTCCATTAGTATTGTCCTGTTTTGTATGGCGGTGTGCTGTTTGATGTTTGTTTTCCGAATGGGATGAATGGTGCGGCACGGGACTGCGTCGGTGCGCTTTGGCAAGCGACAACGGAGTTGCTTCGTGGAGCGCGAGGTGAGAGAGAAGGCGATGAAGAAGGGAGGCACGTAGTGGAAGAGCTCGACATCCGTGAGAACACCTCAGGCAGTCAGCATCAAGGACACCGCGACGGTTTCAGATCGGGCGTCTTCTGCTCTGTAGACCCTTTGACGAGCCGCCTTCACGTTCGCTGCACTTCGAAGGAGCCACACCGCAACTCCTCGGTCGGCGGCACACAGCCAGCGAAACAACGCAGGAGGCAAAGAGATTTTACGCTGAGAACGCCTCAACGCGGATCCTTCTCTCTCTTCCGGAGCCGTAAAAGAAGAGCGTTCGATATGGATGGAACAACCAGGTAACGGAGCGCAGGTCGGCTGCCGTGACAACGAAAAACCGCTCGACGATTCCTTCCCTTCATCGTTGGGTCCGTTTGTCAGACGACACCGAGAGAGAAAAGCAAGGGAAAAAAAAGGAGGGGGTAACGATGTAGGCGGTACACGACGAAGCACATCAACAGATGTTTTACTGGCGGTGCACGTTTGGCTTTGTTTTACCGTTTTCAGCGAGATTTCCAACATAGTCTCACATCTGCGACGGGAGGTTTAAGATGGCTTTGCGATAGTCGTACTTCTTCGCCAGCTCGATGCCATGCTTTGTGATCTCCTTGGAGCAGCCGCAGCACATGCCGTGCCGCATAAGATCGAACGTATCCGCGTCTTCGATGTCGTGCACCACACCGCCGGCCTCGCGAATCATGATTGCGCCGGCGGCCATGTCCCACGCTTGCACACCGACCTCCCAATACGCGTCCGCCCGCCCAGCCGCGACGGAGCACATGTCCAGCGCGCACGCGCCGTTGTTGCGGATGGAGTGTACGGGGTACTTGGCGAGCTCCGACTGCATCCCGACGACAGCCTTCACCGCCGCCTCGCTGCGGTTGTAGCTGATGTGCATGAAGACGATGCACTCATGCAAGGAGGCCCGCGACGAGACGTGGAGGCGCTGCCCATTGCAGTACGCACCGCGGCCCTTGATCGCCGTAAACACCTCCTGCAGGCGTGGTGCGTTCACGACGCCGAGCACCGCCTCCTTCTTCACCGCCAGCGCAATCGACACACAGCAGTCGTACATGCCGTGAACAAAGCTGGTGGTGCCATCGATCGGGTCCACGATCCACGTCGGGCCGTCGCCCAGCGTGGCGGTGCTGTGCGACTCCTCACTCACGATCGCGTACGTCGGCGTACCGGAGCGCAAGATGCGCAGCACCTCCTCCTCGCACTGCCTGTCGTACTGCGTAACGAGGTCGATGCTGCTGCTCTTCGTTTGAATGTCGAGCGCATTCGACGCACGCTCGTCCATGGAGTGGTTGATGATGGTGGCGGCTGCGTGGGCCGCCCGCAGCGCCAGCTCCATGGCAAAGTCGAGCTCTTCATCCGCCAACGTCGTCTGTGCCATTTTGGTGTTTTTTTGTTGTCTCTTTTCCTTTTTTTCTTTTTGAAGACCTGTGGTTTCTACAGACTACGCTGCTCATATGACCCAACAAATATTGATGATGCGGAACAGGCGAAGAGGAGTGAAACATGAGAGCCGCTAAAGCGCGTGCCATAGCGCCGGTGCCATGATGGAACGTTTACTGAGCGGCCTCAACCATCACTGCTCCGTCGAGCATACAACTCGTCACTCTTGCTCTTACCGCCGTTTGGGGGGCTGCAGCTAAGGTGGTCATCCTGTTTGGGGAGGGGATAGGAGTGGAGGCGGCGGGTTTCGCACGGCACCGCATCGAGATAGAAAGCGCTGCGTCTACTTCCTCCCATCGTTCCATCGAATTTATGGCGTCCAGCTTCCAGGCGGAAATAACCATAATACTAAACAGCGTCGCGCCGGCACACAGACCCAAAAGCACCATCACGGGGGAGAAAAAGAAGAAGCTGAAGAAGGCCGCATGCGCAACGCCGTGGCCCCTCCACGTTGATGCTTTGACGCATCGTACATCGTTGAAGGAAGAAAAAAGGAAGAGGAACGTGAGTACGCTAAACATTGGAAACAGAAACTCATTCACATAAAGGGAACATATATAGATAGTTAGATAGATAGACATCCGTCGGCCTATCAGTTGAGCACAGAAGGAAAAGAAGAACCGTACCGGACCACGGCATCCGTCGGCCCTCTTCGCTCGTCACAACTCCTCTCGTTGATCGGGCGACGGCGCCACCGCGGCCCGACTACGCCAGGCGCGTTGGATCGTGATTGCCGCATCCTCGCACAGGACGGCGTGCTGCTGCGTCTGCCGATCCTCCGCCAGTGCCGTCTTCACTCCCACCGCCGCACGCGCGTCCAACACCATCCGCCGTCTGCGCTCCACGAGAGCTGCGACACCACGCAATGCCGCAATGCGCAGCTCGACGCCGAGACGCCTGCGGTCCAGGTAGCCGCGGCCCACACGCTGGAGGATGAGCGTCTCAAACGGATGTGCCGCCGCGAAGGCGTTGCGCTGCGCGAGGTGCCGCGCGTACCACAGCTCGATGCGACGCACCGCAAAGCACCTCAGCGACGACACCTCCGCCACGGCGTACAGCTGCCGACGCTCGGCCAGTAGTCGACGCGCCGCGTGGCAGCGATGCGCGCGCTGCAGCGTGCAGGCGGCCCGCAGCTGTCGGTGCCACCTCAGCTCCTCCCGGTGCCGCCGCCAGCTCGTCTGAATGACGGTGGCGCTCTTTTCTGCCACCGCCCGCTGCCGCGCCGCGACGATCTCCGGGTGCCGCAGCTCCTCCACGCGCACCCGCGCACGGTGGCCACGGTAAACCCGCTGGATGCTGGCCGCCGCGTACTCGCATATCTTCGCGTCCTGCTCCTGCCGGACCAACTTGCGTGCCCGCCTCTTCGCCACGACGGCGTTAATTTTGTCTAGGAAGAACTGCAGCGCGCGCATGGTGCCGTCGCAGCTGCCGTTGACAGCCTTGCTCGCGTCCGCCTGCACCTGCAGCGCCATGTCCCACACACGGCGGGCTTCCTTCTCAGCTGCGAGGCCGACGACAAAGACCTGCCGACGTGTGTAGCGCATGAGCCGTACGGCGCAGCGTGCATGGTAGGCGCGATAGGCGCACTGAATCTGCAACGCAGCGCTCTCGTGGCGGTGCGTGCGGTGCGGCCACGACGACTGCAGCCAGCTGTGCAGGTCGGCACTCTCCAGGTAATCCGCGACGATACGCGGGGCGTCCGGAGGGGCTTGGGACGCGACCCTGCCGTTTGCCGCCGCCGTCGCAGGCGGCTCCTCCTGAAAAGAGATCCACAGTGCGCGCTGACGGTCTGCCTCCTTCGCCAACTCCTCCTCCGAAATTGCGAAACGTGCCTCGAGTTCCGTTGCTCCTCCGCGGGCTGCCTCAAACGGTCGGGCCGTGTGCGGGAAGCTGCTTTGATCTCGCGCGAAAGGGAGCCCGCAGCCAGAAGAACGACTTCGGCCGTCGCTCGAATGCGCCCCCGCGGACGAGACGCTGGTGCTGCTGGCGCCGCTCTCCTCCGCCTGCAGGGCATCCAGCTGCCTCTGCATTGCTCGTAGGTAAAAAGCACGGTTGTCACGGCGGCGCTGCTCCTCGAAGGCACTCCAAGTGTCGCGCTGCGTGGCGATGTCGGCTGCCGTCGCGGCCGGGTGTTCTGCGGCCCACCGATCCACCAGCAAGTTCGAGTCGCCCGGCCATGCGGCGGTGGTGGGGCGGGTGACAAGCGAGGACGCGGCGGAGAGCTGCCGCTGCGAAGTCGACAGTGCCGCTGCGCTGGTCGATGTGTCGCTCCCCATCGCAGTCGCTCCCGGGACACGACTCTCGATTACAGTGCGCCCCTTCGGCACGGGTGACGACAGCTCCAGCCCGAGCGTGGACTGCAGCGTGGCGATGAAGTGACCCTCCGCGTTGTGCTGGAGCAGGTGGGCGACTGAGGTGTCGAGCAGGCCGTTCATCACCTGCCACAGCTGTGAGGCGCTGAAGGCGCGGTCGGTGGAGCGCTGTCGGGCTGACATGGCGACGCTCGCCGCACGGCTCTGTCCTTCGTCCCCTGCAGACGTGTACGGCACCTGATGCGACAAGAAGGGCTGAAAGGTCTGATAGGACTGCAGCCGTGCGAGGAGCTGCTGCACGGTAGTCTGCGTGCTGGCGGCGGCGGCCTGCATGTAGCGGCGTGTGTCTTGACTCATGCGACGGCCCTCGCTGCGGCGGAAGCTGTCGGCACGCACGGAGGCCTGGCTGCGACTGCGACTGCCACCGCCACCGCTGCGACCGCTGCGTCCGTCCATGTAGCCGATGGAGGTAGACCAGTCCATGCGCGAGGTGTTGCCGTACGGCTGGGCAACGGAGGCGCCAACGGAGTTGCCGCTGAGGGCAGCAAAGGAGACGTTGATCTCCTGTCGCGGTCGGTCGCTTTCTGCCATGAATGTGGAGGAGCGCGAGAGGAAGGAGATAAAGTGTGTTGTGGAGTCCTCCGTGTGTTGCTTCACCCTCCAGCAGTGTGTGCGTGGGTGGGGATGTACGCATGTGTATGTGTGTGTGTTTGGATTTTGATGCAGCAAGACAGAGAAGAAGAGGAGTAAATAAATTGCTTAAAAAAAACAGCGAGGGCAGAGGGAAAGCGTCGAGTGGTGCCGACGATGCCGCACTTCGGACGAAGAGTAACGCGGGGCTCCGCATTCATAGAGACCCGGACTTGCTCTTCTGTTTCGTGGCAGCTTCGGAATGGCAGAAAGACGAGAGCTGACGTTCTCCGTCTTCTTCGTTGGACTTAATGTTACGGCCGTTTGCGTGTGTGTGTGTGTGTGTGTGTGAAGAGTAGCAACTAAAAAATATCCGTTCTCAGCAATTCCACCAAAACAAACCCAACAAGTGCACCGCCATCAGCATCAACAACGACGGCGACATAAACACCCTTCACTTTCACCTCCCTTCGTTGTTGCCTTGCGTTGAATCATCCAGACGCCCTTGTCCACGCAGCCACTCCACGTACTCCGGCTTTGGGGCCCAGGGCAGTGCGTAGGGATCCACTACACCCCGTCGCTGCCTCAGCACAGCCGCCTGCGCCTCCGCATCCCCAATCATGGCGCTGGCCTTTACGTTGCGTGAGAAGGCCTCGATGCACTGCTGCAGCGTCGGTTCCGCAAAGCCGATGATACGTGTGTTGAGCGCCCGCTTCGTGCACATCGTGTACTCGTACATGGAGGCGAGGATGGCGGGTGGGCGTGTGTCCAGGCGCTCTTGCCTTGGCGCAAAGAAAGGCGTCAGCCCCACATATTTCGGGTCCACCACGCTGCTCGAGAAATCAAAGAAAGCCTGAAGCGACATCGCACTGGGGGATGGGGTGTGACGTGCGATGATGGAGCGCTTGAAAGGAAAAATCCGCCACCTTTGCAACGGCATCAAGCATGAACCTCGAGAGGAGAAGAAGTGGAGGGGAGTAGTAGTAGGAAGGAGAGGCTTGATCGGCAGAGGACACAGCGGCGGAAGGTCAGTGTCGATGCGGCTGTCGTCGACATGCAGCAATAAACAAGGGACAATCGACGCGGCGGAGCGCAATCCTTTCACCAAAACCGTAGCGCATCCGTGTTTCCCTCGTCCTCTGTACTTCCGCAGTGGTCGATGGTCACGCCGAAGCAAACCTTCGGCGGTGCTCTCCTCTGTTGCTGTTTGTTTCTGTGTCCGGCACCTTGCGTGAGTAGAGCACGGAGAAGCAAGACAGCGCGCAGCTACTCGTTTCGCTTTAGCGCGCACGGTGGTGCGGGGGTTTTCTTCTCTTTTTTCATTGCTTTCGATGCTTGGTGATTCGCTGACAAACGCTGATTACACGTTATTTATGACGGCTTCAGTGAGAGCTGTTTGCTTGTGCGTGGAGGACAATTAAGCGTAGTATTAATGGCATTTAAGAGGAGAAACTGTCATAGAAAAAAGTATGGTAAAAGCACTTGTGTGGTGCACGGCACGTCTTCACACACATACACAATCATTCAGAGCACCTCGATTACTCGAAGCCGGTGATTTACAACCCACAAAGAGAAAGGCACCGTATTATGCTTTCCAGCCACGCTTGATACGGAATTTGATGTCCTTCTTCTTCATCTCCTTCGCACGCGTCGCACGATCAGCCACAGAGCTCTTCAACTTCGTCGCCACGCGCTGCGACCGCTTCGTCATCTGGAATAGCTTACCACGCTTCGAGTGCTCGCCGTGTGTTGAATTTAGCTTGCTCTTCTTCTTGCGTCGCAGATCAAACTTCGAGGTGGCCTTGCGCAGCTCTTGGGCCTGTTCAATCTTGGCCTGCTTGTCCGTCTCGCGCTTCCGCTCCGTGAAGTGTTCAATGTCGTGGGCGTCCAGATCGCCGCTGACGCCGTGGATCAGGTCGTACTTCTTCTTAGCCCGCGCGTCGCGTTCCTTCAGCTTGCCGCGGAGAGACTGGTGGCTGCCGTGTTGGGCCTGCAGTTGGCGGATCTTCTCGAAGTCGCTGTCGGTCAGCATGCGTGAGGAGGAAACAGAGGCCTTGGAGGCCTTGGAGCTGGTCACAGAGGACTGGCGGCGTGAAGAGGCGTTGGCGAGCGAGGCCGCGCTGCTGGAGCCGTCGGTGACATCTTCGAACCAGCCGTTTTCATCGCCTGATGCGTTGACGAGCGCCTTCGAAAGGGAGAAGGGTCCCTCCTCTTCCCCCTCCTCCTCTTCCCCACCACTTTCAGAAGCCTCTTCCTCGTCTTCTCCCTCCTCGTCGTCCGCGGAAACCTCCTCCCACCCAAATGCATCCTCGTCGTCTTCCTCGGCCTCTTCTTCCTCCGCCTCGTCTTCCTCCGCGTCTTCTTCCCCCGCGTCTTCTTCCTGCGCCTCCGTCGGCTCGTCCACCCGCTGACGCTTGCGGGCCGCCGCCTCCTTCTCCGCCTCGCCGGCGTCGTCCTCCGTCGTCGACGCAGAGCGGCCCTGCTTGTGCACCGGCACTAGCTGCGGACACGCATCCTCGTCCTCCTCGCTGCTGGCGTCCGAGGCATCGACGAAGTCACCCTCCACGTCACCGGGTTCGATCTCGCTGTCCGAGTCGGTCACCCACTCCCCGCTGCTGTCACTCGAGGAGTCGTCATCGGAGGAGGAGGCAGAGGAAGGGCCCCGGCTTCCCTCCTCGTCCTCCTTGTCGCTGGCGCTGTTCTGATAGAGCAGCTCCAGCCCGGGGATGTCCGAGTACACGTGCACGGCACCGTAGACGGGCTTCTTCGTCATGTCCGCTGCCCCGGCCTTGCTGCCGCGCAGCTTCGTTGGCAGCAACTCCGGGTAGACGTCGCGATAGAGTTGAATCAACGCGCGAGCCGCCATCATCACGCCCTTGTCGCCGCGCTGCGTCTTGTACTCAGCGAGGTCCTTCAGCAGGTCTGCGTTCATTGCCAGCGGCTGGCGCTTGCAGATCTCACGAATGGTGTTGATGCCGACGGTGATGGCGTCAGGGGACGAGCGGTCGGACACGAAGTGGTTGGCGATGGTGCGCAGCAGCGGCTCCAACACGTCGGGTGGCACCATTTTGTGGACACACATGGCGGAGAGGGCGAGGAGCTGGGTTGAATGCAGCTGCGACGGCTCCATGTACCGCTCCAGGAAACCGTACAAGGGCAGGTGGATGACCTCGTGCTCAGACACGGTACGAGCGATGACGTTGAGGTACAGCAGTCGCACCTCAAACCTCTCCGACGTCTTCTGCAGCTTGGCCAGCAGACGCTCCACGAACTGCTGGGGGTCACGCAGCAGTCGGATCGGGTCGACGTGCTGCTTTGCATAAAGCTCCTCCTCGCGTTCCTGCCGGTTGTACTTTCGCTTGGCTTCCCGCACGCCACGCTTCAGCACGCGCTCGCGCTTCCCCGTCTTCTTCACAATCTTCATCTTCTGCTTCAGCTTGGAAATGGTCCGGCCGGGGTCCTGCTCCTCCTCGTCATCGTCGTCGTCCACGGAAGTGATCTTCGGCATCTGCAGCAGGAAGAAGCGCAGGGCGGTGCGGAGGATGGTGGTGTGCCGCGAGAAGCACGCCCGTGTGAGCACCTCGACGGTGCGCTCGTCACTCCACACACGGCGGCGGTAGAGGTCAATCATCACCATCTCCGCGCAGCGCGCCTGCACCGGGTCATCCTCCGCCATGACGGAGAAGAGAAAGCTCTGCGCCTTCTTGTTGATCAGCGCACCGTTCTTCGCACCGGGCATGTTCACCTTGCGAATGTCACTCACCAAGTGCGTGAGAATGAGCTTGCGCAGCGTCTTGTCGCGCTCCTGCAGCAGCTCGAAGAAGAGGGGAAAGGTTTGATCCGTGGAGACGAGGTCCTTCGCACGGAGCAGAAGGAGACACTTCACGAGGGCCAGGCGGAGGTCGCCCGGCAGCCCGTTGCCCTTCGACGCACGCAGCAGCTCCAGCACTATGTTCACCGTCACCACCGACTCCGCTGGGAAGCAGTGGCTGACGTGACAGACGTAGTTCAGCACGGCAGTGAACTGGGGGTTGAGGGTGCGCTGGGCGAGCACGGTGGCGCTGGAGGCGCGGAAGTGATCGAGTTGGGCGAGGAATTCATCACGGTAGGACTCGGGGTCGCGCCGGGTGCGGTTCTGCAGCAGCAGCAACGTGCCGCGGAACGCCGGCTCCGTCATGTCTGCTCAGTGAAGTACCTGCGGCGTGGGTGGGCTGTATACGCAGTCCAACACAAAATTATCCAATGACAGGCTCGAAACGATGTTTGAAGCAGCCTCCCGTTTGTCGCGCACACGGACGCACAGGCAGCAACAAGAAAGGGAAAAGAGGAAGAAAAAAACAGAAGATTCGCGTGCGCTGCAGCTATCAATGCGTGTAGGGGAAGCGCAAACCGAGCTGTAACCGACACGGATGAAGCACACGCGTCAGACGAAGAGAGATGGTGGAAAGAAGACAGAAGGGTAGAGGAGAGTTCCCGTGAACATCAGCACACAACAAGGGAGGGTGGAAACGGAGGAAAGAGGCGGTGTCCATCACACGTGCATCTCCTGAAACGTCATGTGAAATGGAGTGCGCCACACGCTCATGATGAAAGGAGAATCCTCATACCTTTAATCGGTTATTTGCAACCGTGTAGCGAACGCTTCGTTGAGCATAGTCCCCCAGCCCCTCGCAATACGTGCCATGGGGGCGGCGTGTCTGACGTCACACGCACTCTATTGAGTTCGAGCGGGAATACTTGCGCGGCAGTTGAACTCGTGCTTACTATATATTGTGGTTTCCTTTTCTTCTTTGTCATCTGTGCGATTGCACGAATGGAGAAGCGCTACTATTATTATTATTATTATTAAATGCGGTTGCTTGGATCGTTGGTAGCAACGGGCGCCGTGGGTACGTAGGGCACTGAGAGTAAATATTGGTTTATAGAGAGAGATGTGTGTATGTGTGAAAACGCAGGAAGGATATTCCGGCAGCAAAAACACGAAGGTGCAGCAAAGCCGTCATCGAGCGCGGCCTTTCTTGTATAATCCTTTGCGATAGAATCTGTAAAACAGAAAAAAGAAGGCTAACGCACAGCGATCGATAAAGACAGGGGAATGGCAGTCCTGCAGCCAACACTGTCACCGCCTTCGCCTAATCTTGCCGTCTGCCGCGCTGGGAGGGCGATAGTGGTCAACACACGCATTGAAGGATGCGACAACGTAGTTAGACAAGGCGGCCCGCAGAGCGCCGCTTCGGGGGCACGCACTGCTAGTGCGGCTGGCGGAAACACTTGAAACTAGTAGTAAAATACGGAAGGAGAGACACACGCTGCAGCCGCGGGAACGAAACAGCGACGTACGCAGCACACGGCAGAGCGAGACAAACACAGAAGCGCACGCACCGCATTCCGCGGAGGAGATGTCCCAAGGAGAAGTTGGATGGGATGGCCACGACGGCAGCAGCACCGTAAAGGCTACGGCTGTTGTGCTTCCCTTAAGCTGGTCAGGCAGTGGGAGATGACGGTGGTTTGCTTCCGTTTCCGCCTCCAAGCACGGTGCGCGGCTCTCTGCACAATGTGTACCCGCCCCGCGACATCAGTTTCCCTTGAAATCCGTGCTGTTCACGCGGTCCGGCGACATCAAATGGCTGAACCACTCATTCACAAATAGGCTGTCGGGGTCCATCTTGCGACGCAGCTCCAAGAAGCGGTCCCAGTGGCTGCCGTACGCCGCGGACATCTCGCGATGGCCCCAGTCGTAGTACTTGGCCCAGTGCGGCCGCCCCTCCATCTCCTCCATCAGTTTGTTGAAGCCGTCGTAGACGCGGCGGGTGTCACGCGCCTCCTGCCCGCGCGGGCGGTACATCACGACGCCGATCCAACACGTGGGGCGACCGACGGCGGGCGACATGTCCGAGTCGTCCGCGGCCGTAAAGCGGAACTCCACAGGGAAGTGAAGCAGCATCTTCTCCCGCTCAATCATGGCACGCAACTTCTGGAACGCCTCGACGGCGCGGCTGGCATCGATGGCCCATTCGTTTGCCCACTGCCGGAAGAGGCAGTCAAAGGTGAAGCACTGCAGCGCCGACCCCCGCTGCACTGCCGGCGTGGTGTAGAACATCTTCTGATAGGTGCGGTTGATGTGCGGCTGCAGAGAAGGGTAGCGGCAGGCCACCCAAAGACTCCACTCCACCAACTGATGCCGGATCAGCTCGTTCGTTACCCAATTCGTCAACGCCGACACGGTCGCCACCGCTGGGTCCAAAACAGAGCTGCTGCGGCGGTTGTCGCTTTCGGCAGCGGCAGGGCTGGCATCGACCGCAGCGATCCTCGGCTTGGAGACGTCGGGGTGCTGCGCGCGAAGTCCGCCCCCTACCGGTGCCTCCTCATACTTCAACGGACGCTTCGGCGTGACGCGCGTTGGCGGGTCCGCCTCCTTTTCCTCTGCCGCTGCTTTCTCCATCGCAGTTGAAATCGCAGCCGGCCGGTCCGTCGCCTCGCCGTCGGGGTTGCCGCAGGACTCGTAGCAGCCCTCCGTGTGGGGCACCCACCACCAACGGTAGTACTCGTTCTCCCGCACCTTTCTCGCGACGAGCGCCGCGTCGGTTGCGTCGGCCATCGAGAGGGGGTTGCTCGCGAGCCTCCACTGCACCCGCGGCTGCACCTCCAGCGTAATCTCCGTCACGACACCCAGCGCCCCGAGGTGGCACGCGGCGAGGCGCAACTCCTTTGCGTTTTTCTCCGCCGCGAAGGTGTGCAGCTCACCGCGGCCGTCGACGACCTTCAGCGCCCGCACGTAGTCAGACAGGGAGCGGCAGGTGATGCCGCTGCTGTGTGTCGCCGTGGCGATGCAGCCGCCCACGGTGGTCTGCACGTACGAAGGGACACAGCGGAGCATCAGGCCGTGTCGGTCCAGCGCGTTCATCACATCCTCCATCAGCACCCCCGCCTCGCAGGTGAGGAGGCGGGTGGCGGCGTCAATGGACACAATTTTGTTCATGCGGTTCATGTGAAGGAGATGGTCGTTGGTGAAGGTGGAGCTGTTGGGGCTCTTGCCGGCACCGGCGACGCGGCACTTCCCGTTGCACGCCCGCACAAAGGCGATCACCTGCTGCACCTCCGCGGCAGATGTCGGGTAGTGATGATGGGCGGGGATGCAGACGCCGATCTGCGCCATGTTGGTCCACTGGCTGGACATGGTGAAAAAAAGAAATTTGGGAGAAACGAAGCGTTTAGGTGGTTGTGCGGGGATTGAAAAATGAACTGCGTGTAGCGGTATATCGGGGGATGGTCGTGAACTGTAAAAAACAATAATGGAAGCGAAACGGGAGCAAACTATCGAGGCGGTGCCGATCGGCGCTGGTGAGCACTGCGGTGGAAAGGAAAGAAGGAAATGGTGCGGAGGGCGAAAGGTTTAATGAGGAAGGCACAGACGGTGCGTCTGCCGGTACGAGAGAAGCGCAGCGGCTGAGACGGGGCATGTGAGAAACGCGAAACGGAAGTGAGCCCCACCACGCACGGGGCACGTGTAGGTTCTCACATCGGCCGGGTTCAGCCACGGAACTTGTCAGGGTTTGCTGCGAACAACACAGAATGTGCTTTTTTCGAAGCAGTGGAGGGCACGGTGCGGCCAACGCTTCCCGGAGGAGAAAAAATGAAAGATAAGGCATGTCGTGGCCACGGCGCTGACAAGCCCTGTTCACCTCCGCTCTCGTAGCACTGCCTTCTCCTGCACGCACAGGCAATGGCCTTTACGGTTACACCCACGCACTTGAGAGGCTTTCATGCGGCAATCAAAGCGACGTCCGCAGCGCAGGAGAAAGACGAAAGCAATGTTAAAGGGAAAACAGGAGGCACGTAAAAAACGGCGACTAACGATTTGCGTTGCAGCCTCGGGCCAGCATGAAAAAGGAAGGAGAAAACACGCACCTGCATCTCACTCTTACCGCACTCGGCAGCCGCCTATCCTTTTCTTTCAGCTGTGCCAGCGTCACTTTTCCTCCACGCGGCCGATGCAAAAGTTGGCGAAGAGACGCACCGACGACGGGTGGTGGAAGCGGGCGAACACCGTCGCCATGTCCTGCCCACCCGCACCGTCCAGCAGCACCAGGCCGCCGGGGTGCTGATGGATAAACAAACTCACGTCCAGCACGTTGCCGTCGATCACTATCCACAAGTCGTCGGCGGTGCGATGCTGTGCGACCTCGTCCCGCGTGTAGCGCTGCGGTTGTGGGCACAAGAAATTGCCTGCCAAGTCCCAAAACTCCTCTACAATGTTCTTGGCGTCCGCCGCCACATCGCGTGAGTTGTTCTCCCGTGAGGAAAGGTTTGGCAGCGTGGTCGTAGGTGACAAGGCGGCGCTGCTTCTGACGTCCGTGGAGAGGCGAGTCCAGATGACGTCGCGCGCTTTCACCCCGAAGCAGCAGACGTCGAAGTAAAGCACGAGAGCGACGCTACACAGGAGGATCAGCACCGTGCAGCACAGCGTGCTCGTCGAGACGTCACGCCTTCGGCGGAACCGTGGCACCGGCGGAGCTGCAGGCGTATCGATGATGGGCGGATTGGCGTGCTCGACCTTATCGGTACTTGAAGCAGACATGTTGCTTTAAAGAAACGCCGCCACGTGCGCTGTTACTCGCACGACTTTCGATCGGAGGAGAAGAGTGAGGCGGAGGCGATGCCGTTCAACTCAAGCTGGCCCTCGTGAGACGCGGAAACGGCTGACCGGTGTTTTCTCTCTCTCTCTCTATTAGCGATAGCAGAAGCACAGGCATGCAAAGCGACCCTTACAAACCTTCATACGCACATCGCATGCGTAAACCCACCGAAAGACCGGTACAGAAACCGTTAAAAGAAAAAGGGAAAAGAAAAGCGAGCCACAACCACCGTTGCCGCCGAGAAGCTATTTGAAAGATCAGTGGAATGCTGACGCATCAACGATAAATAGGACGGCTGAAGCATACCACGACGAAGTTTAAGTACGTGGCCGATTCGTGATGAATCGGAAAAAAATGTCAGTGTAAAAAAGGGAGTAAAAACAACTTTAAAAAAGGCACAATTTCCATCAAATAGTCCGCCACAAGGTGAATCGGAGAGGGGGCTGGCTACGCAGGTAAGCGTTGAAGAATACGGTGACGGCAGCACGACCGAGGAGCGCGAGCTGTCAAAAGGAAAAAAAGGAGATGTTTTCTCTCGCAATACAAGAAGCTTGTGCGTTTGCCTGTGCCAGTACGTGTGTGACGTCGGCTCTTATTGCTATCTACCTATGTTTTGACGCTAAAGGCAACGACATACGTATATCGAGTTCGTGCAAGGTGAACTACTCCACCGTCTGTGGCGTTGTGTGTCGGACCGGCAGGACTCAACAGCAGCACACAGCAAACAATCACCCCGAAGGTCGAAGGAGGAACAAAAAAAAGGGACACAAATCGATGCTGCTGTTTCGCTTTGGTAGCACAGTGAGGTAAGAACACACCTGCTCGGGTGTCGCGATACAGCAGAGATGAAATAGGGAGGGGGAGAGAAGCAAGAGAGCGCTAGTCCAGCAGCTGTTGAGCCCATTACTGTCCCTCAAGGGGGGGGGAGGGCACCTTCAATGCACAGATGAAGGACGGATCTGAGTTACACACACACACACCAACCAACCACAACCCCGATGCAACATCAGGTCTGGTAAGAAGAAAAAAACTACTATTAGAACCTCAGCCACACGATAAGTGCACCTGAGGAGGTAGCACAACTCCTGAAGACCTTTGTTGGGTGCGTGCGGGTGCACACGTAGAACGCATTACTACGCCAGCCCATCACAACGTAGCTTTGACGTCGGCAGAGCGGCCTTTTACTTTTGCAATGGCAAACACCTACGCTTCTCTGAGCAAGACGGGGTACGCTACTTCGTTTCTTAGTCAGCCCTGAAGCGCAAAGCAGAAAGAAGCTTAAAAGAGAAAGCATGATAATCTACTTGAGCAGAAATATATATATATAGCTCAAAGAGAGCTGCAAAAAAAAACCCTGGTGTGCAGACAGCACAGGCCGGAAAACAGATTTGAATGCAAGCACGACGGCGCCATGGCACCGCCCTACCCCCAGCACCATAGCAGAAGAGCAGCACTGCAAGCGGCTAAACAACGCACGCACGGCAGCGACGAAGAGAGGGGAGACCCATGCACGTACACGAACCAGTGCAGTCCGTCCTTCTCGATAAAGGAAAAAAAAAGGATAGAGTTCAACATGTGTTTGGATCGACGTCGCAGCTGGGCTCCGCTACCAGCGCCGACCTCGACGCAGCACACAACAAAGGAAGTCTGTCTTCGCTTCCCACCAAACGGCACAGCAGTTGTAAAGGGAAAGAAAGAACGCAAGTGAAATCTATTCGCTACTATGAAAAGTGCAGAGAACAGACGTTTGAGACGCACACAAGCAACGATGCTGGCTGCCCTGCTCCAATTATGATTCGTTTTATTATTTTCGTCCGGAGAAGCGTCCGCGACGACGGAAAACGAGGAGGTAAATAAACACACTAAATTGATTTCGGAAACTAGAAAACCCCGTCCGCAGTTGACAGAATCAGAGCGGCTGCTGTTGTCGCCTGGCAGAACGGCACACGGCGCAGGGGAGGCAAGGAAAGGAACGGGAGGAAGAAACCCCTGTGAGCATCGTCAGTAGTTAATTACACATTCAACGAGGATTGCCTTCTCCCTAAAAAAAGAAGCCAATGAAAAGAGAAAAGGAAGAAAAACGTGAGCGCCGTCTGTTGGCACCAACACGTCAGACACCGTAAGCAACAATAAATAATAACAGCCGCAGGCCACCGAATCTTCCACGCACTTAAATGGACGAGCCAACGAAAATAATACTAATTCGATGGCACTACGCTCCGACCACGTGGCCGATGCAAAAGTTGGCGAAGAGACGCACCGACGACGGGTGGTGGAAGCGGGCGAACACCGTCGCCATGTCCTGCCCACCCGCACCGTCCAGCAGCACCAGGCCGCCGGGGTGCTGATGGATAAACAAACTCACGTCCAGCACGTTGCCGTCGATCACTATCCACAAGTCGTCGGCGGTGCGATGCTGTGCGACCTCGTCCCGCGTGTAGCGCTGCGGTTGTGGGGACATGAAATTGCCTGCCAGGGCAAAAAACTCCTTCACGCTGTTCTTCGCATCCGCCGCGACACCGTCCAGGTTGCCTTCCACGGTGTTTACAGCGGAGGGAGAGGCTGTGCTCGACGGCGTGTGATACCAACGTGCCTGCGGACTCGTGAAGACGCGATTCATTACGCTCTGAGAAGAGATGTCCAAGCACCACACCATGAGGAAGCACACCACGACTAACAGAAAGGCGAGGGAGAGAACGTGGTGGTGTCGCGCCTGCTCCTCGGTGGCCTCCTGCCAGGCCGTGCGCATCACCCTGCGCAGATAATGTCTGCGTCCCAATGCTGGTGCTGTAGAACCTCGTATCGACCTCGCCGAAGACGACATCTCGGAGGAGCCGAGAGAAGAGACGTTCTTCTCCACGCCGCTGCAACTGGAGTCACTTACGTCCATTCCTGCCCTTGTACCGCAAAACGTCAGCCGATTTCACCTACGCCTGCTAGGCACAGCGCACAAGCAGCGGTGGTACTTGTGAAAGCGCTGAAGGGAACAGAAATAAGGCTCAAGGAAGTAGAAAGCACTCTCAAGTGCAGCGAGGGGTTTATCTTTCATTTGGATTACGAAGCGTACAGGCGAAGACCAGAACAGAAAAAGAATGGAATAGAACAAAACATGAATGCGTCGTGACAAACAGGCGTGTGAGAAAGCATCATTTTCATTTCCTTTCTGGTGTTGTAAGGCAATGCGGGGTGGACTCCGCAGGTGCCACGTTAGCGCAGCATGTGTGTTTTGACGTTGCAGTTCTTATTATTATTATTACTACTTTGCTGTGGAGTGCATGGACTCTCCCAGACTCGATATTTTTGGTGGTTTGCTTGTTTCGCATATTCCTCGCTTACCGCTGAACTGCGCAAGTGCGCCACCGCAAGCATATTGAAAGCGGCCTCCGCAAAAGCGGACCACTTCGCAGGAGCAATGCGATGATGAAGGAACTCGTGCGGGCAATGCGCGAGCAGCCCTCTCCATTCCCTTCCTGTGTCTCTATCTCTCTCAAGCAAAAGGTGGTTTGCCCTTCCTCTGCCACTTCAGCCACCACCATAGCACTCCTCAATCGAAGAGACGGCATTCGCAGGCACCATGGACGCCAGCTCGCCGCGTAACTTATCCAAAGCAGCCGCATCGCCGGACCTCGCCTTCGCCATCGCCGCCGCGACTTCTCGCACGGCTGTTGATGAAGTGCTGTCCGGCTGTTCAAACTGCGCAAAGGTGAACTTGTAGGCGCCGATGTTCAGCTCCGCCGTGGTGCCATCCGCCGCCGTTTCGGTGAGGACCGGTGCGGTGCGGCACACACGCTCAAAGTCCTCCGCGCACCTCACCTCGCCCTCCGAGTCGCGGTAGACGACGACCAGTGGAAAGGCATCCAACAGCTGCTTTAGCAAACCCAGCGGCCAGCAGCCGGGCCGCCAAAATGAAGAAAACAAATCCGCACCGCAGACAAACACGACGCGCACGCGGCGACCGTGCGCCGTCAGTTGGGCCACCGCGTTGGCCTCGTGTTGGGCGTACCACGCATTCACGTGCATCTCCAGCTGCTGCAGCACGTAAAGGGTACGGGTGTAGGTGGGCTGCAGACACTCCCACGCGTCCACATTCAGCTCGGCGTGGTCGCGCACCGCGTCGTCAGCGATGCGCACTCGCTGGGCAGCGCTCTTCAGGCCCGATTTGCCATACGCGTCGCTCACCGGAGAGAAGAAGCCACCCAGTACGGTGTACGTGCCGTGTGCCTCGAGGGCCGTCTTTGCCGCGCGGTAGAGCTTAAAGTGGGCGTTGTGGATCGGGTTGAAGCTGCCGCAAATCGCAATAACAGCTGGCTGCGGTGAGGTGGACAGAGCCGTGTCGCAGGTCGTGAGTGACCGCAACTTCTCTGCACGTAGGGTGTACGTAGCGCGGAGAGGGGAGGAGGCATCCATTCTTTTTCTCTTGGCGAGATGTACAAGGACACTCGGAACAGCGTGGGAAACAGCAGAAAGCGGTGCTCTTCGCCTCTCCTCGAGACTGGCGCTGTCAATGGCCATTCATCGGCACATCCGCGAATTCGAAAGGAGAAAAAAACACAAAAAGGAGTCAACGCGAGAGGTGTTGGTGACGACGATCGAAGGAAGACGTGATGCATCTGACTTGCGGCGCTGCTCCGTCCTAAGAGAGGGGGAAGGGGGAGAGCGGGAGGCACAATCTATGGCGGGCGCATTACTTCTCCCATCCCCAAAGAAAAGACCTTTGTAATGCGACACAGAGAGGAAGGTGTCATCCCGGCAGCATTTTAAAACTCCTCCTTTGTGATTTACACGTCTGTGAAGCACGACCCATTGAAACAACACCCACATCAGCAGCTCACGGCATAGCAGACACACGCGCATCTCAAAAACTGGAAACGTCCATTCTCCTCCTCCTTAGCGAGCACCGTCATCAAGCCAGGTGCTACACGCGCAGCCCACGAGCCAGCGCTTCGGGCAGCTCCTGCGTTTGGCCTGACACGGCGCCGTCCACGTACTGCTGATACTCCCGCTCACGGCCACGCGGAATGCGGGGCAGCCCCAGCTGATACGTCTCCACGTTTTTGATGTACCAAATCTCCTTGGAGAGCAGATAGTCATCCAGGTCCTGACGCTGTTGGGAGGCGGCCAAGTACGCCCGCGTCACCTCCACCGCCACGCCCGTGATGCCCGCCGCGACCAGCAGCGGCATGCGGTAGACGGTGTGCAGAGGCAGCACGACGCAGCCGGCCGCACACAGAATACCCGCCGGGGTGGCCCCGTTGAACTCCATCACCTTCGCCATCCACTTCGCCGTCAGCTCCTTCTCCTCGGGCGAAATCTCGTCGTAGTCGTAGAGGGCAAAGTCGGTGATGGGGTGGTAGTACTGCCGTGCCCGCACACGCGAGGGGTGCACAGGAACGAGGCCAACACGCTCCCAGAAGGTGTAGGGCTCCGTCTCCGGGCCGGGCTTCGACTCCTGCGGGCTGCTCGTGCGCACAATCAGGGCCGGTGCCGTCTCCATCCGCACATTTCGCAAGTTGCCGACCCATGGAGTGCGGAGCTGCTGCTCCAGACTCGCAGCAAGGTCCGTCATGTCCTCGCTGTACACCACGCCAGGGATGGAAGGCTCCCCGCGCAGCCACCGCCATACCCCGCTGAGTCCCATCATAGGTTGAAATGGACCTCCGTTGTAATGAAAATGGACGGGCTGCTTCGCAGAAAACCCGTAGAGAAGAGAGAGAGGAGAGGAGAAAAGCACGCTTTGTACACTCCGTTAGAAGCAGACACACCAACGAACGCGACAACAACCAACACCGACGCGTTGCGCAGGCTTGCGGAGCCGTGTGCGGACCTTCAAACAGCACACTTTGAATCTCAAAGAATGTGGCCCGAACGGGCGAGCAAAACAAAGCCGTTGACACAGTCGATATTTCCTTCAACCACCATCATATATATATCGCGCATACACACCTCATTGGTTTTGCCCTGCAAGCGAGACAATGCGAGTTCTGCGCTCCACGCAACGGAGTGGGGCATCGCACGGGAAGCACAGCAGCTGGCCCTGAAGTACAAGCACTATTAACAGTTCACTTCGTACTACTTTCTTTGTCGCGTTCAGTCCTTCTTTTCCCTTTCTTTGGATGCATTAAATCTTATTAGTTACAAAAAGAAACGCGCACGGTGGAGTAAGTACCGGCAATACACCGTACCAGCGTGGAGAAACCGTCGCCGGTGTTGCAGACCGTTTATGTATCTTCGCTGTTCACAACTACTGAATTTACGCAATACGCTGCCCTTTGCAGTGTCCGCAACACCAAAATGGTCAAGACAAAGGAAAAGAAAACCCCGCCTTTGAAAGGCCTCAGCGCAGAATAGAAAATAGTCTTCACAGCACGCACGTCAAGCTCCGTCCATCTGGTAGGGCGACACAACGCAGCGCATTTCACTTCCATCTTTCTCTGTCCTTCTTCGCCTCGCACTCGATGCAAATGGCGGAGGCAGCGTTATGCGTAGCACCGATGGAAGAGGGCGTACGTCGCCCCGACATTGAAGCACATGCGGTAACGAACAATAAAGGGAGAAAAAAAAACTTGTACGCGTGCGGAGGTGCAGCTGTTGAAAGCAACAGGATCCCTATCTCCTTCCAAATGTGCTACTGAGAATACTCCTCGTTTGCGGAACCCTGCGCATCACGTCACGTCGGAGCGTCGGTGCGGTGCGCCGCAACCACCACATCAGCATCACACCGCCCAACTGGCGCCTCAAACACGGAAGAAACCAACTACAAAGTAAAAGAGGTCAAATCACGTCGCCCCGTTCAGGGGAAAACAGAATCCGAGAAGACTAACACCAAAATATAAATCCGTCAGCGCCGCACAGCAACACCAAAGGGAAAAAAAGCCACTAACGACGAGAACAAAGGAGAAACAGCAGAACGAAGGAAGAGAGAAAGGAAAGCAGCGCGAGTGCTGGGCGCGGTCGCTTCACAAAGGAGAGAAAAACTACAAAAACACGCGAAAGCAGGCGTCCAAGCAACAGCTGCAAACGCCTCAACACCAACGCAGATACGGAAAGAGAGGAGACAGATAAGTTTTCGTTTTTAAAAAAAGGAATGAAGCAGAAGAAAGAAAAACGAGGTAAACGAAAAGAAAGCACACACACACACTCATACTCATACACAGGAAAATAACACCTAGTCGGGGCAATGACAGGCCCAACGCGGCTGCGGCGAAGTCATTCCAATAATTCCGGAGACAGTAAAGAACACAGCTGCGAAAAGAAAAAAACAAAAAGGAGGGCGATGGGGACACGCAGGTACCCTGATCACAGAATGTAAGGGGAGAAAGAAAATATGCTAAAGGGAACAAAGAAGCTAGAACGTTTGATAAATCTTTTATGGCTTGTTTCTTCCTTTCTCCTGTATTTCTGTCACTGCTGCTGTGACACCAACTATCACTGCACCTCGCTTAACGGGATCGAATGCATAACTAAAAAAGAAGGAAAAGGAAACAGAAGGACAGTCAACAGCGCCCCGCTGTTTACTACCGACGTACGATATCCCGCAAACGATTCCTCTTCTCCGATTTTGTTTGGGGAGGTAACCTCGTCCACTTCAAGAAAAAATAAATTATGTCCGAACAACGGAGCCAACGGCTTTCGCATCAGCGTCACGCTGTGAAGATAAAGGCTAACGTTTTCTGTGGTTTTTAAAGATGAAGAAGGCACAGCGAGAAAGTACCAAATTTTATTTTGGGGGAGAGAGGCGTTGTGCTGACGCAGCGCATTCGGTATTGCAAAAAAAAAAAAACAGTAACAGCAGCTTTCATTAATGCGCCACCGTCGTACGCGGAACACGCACAGAAGAGGGGGGGAAGGACCTACAAATCGTCTAACGGAATACGCAGCTTGCCAGGCGCCGGCGCGTCCTCGATGTCGCTTCGCAGCATTATGACGGAGTCCTCCTCGATTCCGTAGCACTTGACGGTGTTGATGTCGTCGTCCATCACCTTCCCAGTCTTTATCACCGACAAGATCTGCGAGCCGGGGGGGATGTGATACACCTGGTGTAAGTAGCGCTTGAAGGTGTGCACCTTGACCGACGCCCAGTCACCGAAGATCTCGTAGCTCTTGTCGCCGTGGGAGACGTAAATGCGGTAGGCATTCGGGGCCTCGGGGCTGATGGTGTTGAAGTTCACACTCGCTAGCGCATGCGTCGACACCTTCGCCCCCGCCGACAGCCCTTCCGGTAGCGAAATCTGCCCTGGCGCGTGTCGGAACAGCTTCGCATGTCGAGTAACGTGGCCGTGGTAGCATGGAAACAGGCGGCAGGTGTGTGCGTACTTCTTCTGATGCTTGCGGTCATTAATAGCAGTGCACGCGTCATCATTGGGGCAGAGAGGCAGGTCGTCACGGATGCTGCTCGCGCTGCTGCCCGACTTGCTCGATGAGGATATCGTGTCGTCCGCCATAGTGCTCACCGTCTTCGCATTGGTGCCGTAGGACCCGCTCATCAGCAATGGCTCCGCCCCCGCGCCGCTGCTGCTGAAGTTCGTGTGGTTCGAGAAGGGGGAAGAAGGGTGGCTCGGCGGTGCCGCACGTCGGCCGGGGAAGCTGCCGACCGCAAAGCCGCCCCCTTGCTGTTGCTGCTGCGACTGCTGCACCGCGGTGGCAAAGGCCGGCGGGGGAGCGCTGCTGCTGTCGCGCGAGTTGTTGTTAGGGCTGTACGCCGCACCGTCCGCGTTGACCTTGCCACCGTAGGAGCCGCTGCTAAAGGGGTGGGTGGGGGAGATCGGTTCGCCGCGGGAGTGACCTGCGTTGCCCATCGTAGGCCGCCCGCTCGACCCCACCAGCGGCGACGACGGATGACTCGAGCGATGATTGGCGTAGCTGCCGGACAGCGAGCCGGCCCGACCTGTCAGGGAGCCGTGGTAGCTGCCGTTGCCTGCCGCGAGCATCACCGGCGGCATTGAGAAGCCGGTCGGTGTGTAACCGTTGCTCGTCGCGGCGAGGCTGCTATTGTTGTTGGCGGCGCTGCTGCTGCAGCCGTAGGCCGGTGCCGCCGTCGTCGTTGCATTCGGCGGCGCGCCAAACGGTGAGCTGATCGGTGCACCGTTGTTGCTGGGCTGGCGTGCGTGGTGCGGTGCGGGGGACTGCGTGCCGCTGCCGCCGCCGCCGCCGTTCGTAGTACTGCCGCTACGGTAGCTGCCGGAGAGCGGCATCGAGTACTGCGGAGCGGAGAGGCCGGTGCCGGACGGCATTCTATACGGGTTATTCGGTCCACGCACCGGCGCCGACTCACCACCGGCGAAGGCGCTGCTGCCGTCGTCGTGCGCCATGAAAGGAGATCGCGGGGGCAGGCTGCCGGACGGGGAGCTGGGGAACCCGCCGCGGCTGCCGCTCTCGTTGCCCGCGCGTGTCATGGGGCTCTGCACGCCTCGGCGATAACGCGGCAGCACGTTGGGCGCCGACCCGACCTGGATCGGTTGCGAGTGCGTCTCCGCCTGTGGCGCCGCACTGTTCCCGTTGCTCCGATTGAGGCCGCCGAGGCTGCTGTTGTCGACGTTGCCGAGGCTATGGCTCAGCGAGCCGGGGCTGTGGTAGGAGGGCACCGCGGACGGGTCGCCGTGGCCGGGGTCGCTCATCGGGCTGACGGGTGCCTCCTCGACGGTGGTGCGGTAGACGTAGGGGGAGTGGGCGTACATGACGGAGCCGGCGCGGCTGCCACCGCGCGAAGAGGAGCTGGAAGGCTGCATCCCCGTCGATTTATTTTCGGTCTGTGCGGCTTCACTAAGAAAAGAATAAAAAAGGCAGCGCTGCGAAACGACAGTAAAATACCGAAGAAAGAATAGAGGCGAAAAGACGCAGCGAGGAGGCACGCAGCCACAAAAACTGAAGCGAAAGCTACCGAGAAATCCAACGAGGCACAACGGAATATATATATATATATATATATATATATATATATATCGCG